CTCGATGCATTTACATTTTTAGCAGAATAATTTAATGTAAGTTATATTAAGACTATTCACAGTGACGAAAATAAAAGCTTGTAAAAATAACTAAACGTATTGCTTTTAGATAATGAAGTGACAATAGAAGTTACGACACACGAGTTTGAGAAAAATAAATAGAAGTGTTCAATTTTAAAATCTAATGTAAATGGGATTCGATATGCATGATATAATAACTCTTATAATTATATTCAGTTTACAGGCTATTGTGACATGACAAGATTTCAGGAATAAAAATTCATAAAATCAAGGAGTATTTTCGCACAATGAATTGGAAGAATTTAGATTAATGAAAATTGGAAATAGAATGTAATACCTATAAACGAGCAATTTTTGTAACGACTCAAATTTTGATGGAATAACTAAATTCCATGAAAATTGTTGAAGCCATTATATAATGCGGCGGGATTCGGGGGCGATAAATCGATCTAGTTTGGTTTCATTTTTAGAAAACTTCGCTTTATCCGTGTTCATTTCAGGCAGTGAAAACTGCTATAATATCATTAGAGTACGAAGGTAAATTTCGCTACCATCGAAAATAGCTCAGGTACTAAGTTGTGTGGTCCCAAACTAGTAGAACCCGGTTCGAGTTACGAGTTACATAATTTAAATATTATTCCAAAACATATATTTTGCTCATCCTACGTAACAGGTTTGAATTAACAACTATGGCGTCACAAGACAGCACGAGGTCAGTCCCATTATTATTTGAGTCGCATTGTAAAGAGAGGCTAATCAACAAAGAAGAAGAATATTAGCATTGTAACATATTTTATAGGTATGAGAATGTCACCTCTGTAATGGAATTGTGTAGCAGAACAAAACCAGAGACCATAAAGCAGACAAATATAACCATTAGAAAGAGATTTAAATGCTGTTTCATTAATTTGATTCAAACAATATTCATTACAATTTTTCGATTAATTTCTTGTATTTACACGATTACACATTATAAATCAAACTAATTTTACGGATTTATCGCGTTTATTTTTAATTTTAGTTCCCGACGTTTCGAACCCTTTACAGCGTTCATGGTCACGGGACAGACTGAGGTGTTAGACGTCTGATTGTCAAAGTTAACCCGGGCTACCGTCAGTTTTTGTATTATTGATTTTGTGTCCGATCTATGCAGAGGTAGCTAATTGTATCTTGTCTTGCAGTAGTGGTTCTTTTGGGCTTAGATTTAATTTTATTGATGATAGGATCCCAAGCTGATGGTAGTACCCAACCCTCTTCTCTATTGAAATTAGGGTGTTTTTTTAATTTCAATAGCCTCGCTAATCATCCTCGGGAGGAATCGGTGTTCTTTTGCAAGGATCTGTGGTCTATCAAACCTGATGTAGTGGTTGGGCCGATTTACAGTGTGCTCACAAACTGCAGACTTGTTTAATCTACTATGTTTTATGTCAGCTATATGTTCTTTCACGCGGGTTTTTATAGCTCTTTTCGTTTGTCCTATGTAAGAGAGCCCACATTCACAGTCAAGTTTGTACACTCCTGGATCTTGCAGAGGGATATTACACTTGACAGATGATAAAAACTGACTAATCTTCTTCAGCGGCTTGTAGAATGTATTAATTGAAGCCCGCTTTAAGACTCACCAACTTACAGACTGGCTCAACATCTAGTACAAATTCTCTCACCGCTGAGAGGACACACACGGGCATACACAAAGGATTCTTACCATTTTGTTAGTGAGATAAAACAAGTATGTCTTGCTGACAATGAAACAATGGTCAGTTTTGATGTACAGTCTTTATTTACATGCCTACCATTAGAAGACTGCATCTCAATTGTAACAAGAAAGCTAAAAGAGAATAACATTCCGGAAGAGTATGCATTACTACTTAAACATTGCCTAACATCCGGCTATTTGCTTTGGAAGGAGGAATTTTACATACGGATAGATAGATGGTGTAGCAATGGGCTGCCCATTATCTCCCATTGTCGCTGACATATTTATGGAAGACTTTGAGGAGAAGGCCCTTCGCACAGCTCCCATTTATCCAAGGTTTTATAAGAGGTATGTAGATGACACCTTCACCATTTTACTAACAAGTAAAGTTAATGCATTTTTAAATCACCTTAACTCAGTAAATTCCGAAATACAAATCACTATGGAATTAGAGAATAATAACTCTTTAGCTTTCTTAGATGTTTTGGTCATCCGCAATCCAAATAACACTATAAGTCACACTGTGTATAGGAAGGCAACCCATACAAATAGATACCTAAACGGTGACTCTCACCACCATCCATCCCAGTTAGCTACCGTGGGTAAATCTTTGTTTCAGAGAGCACAAGGGATCTGTGACAAACAACACCTGGCCGCTGAGCTTCAACATGTCAAGCAAGTTCTGCATGACAACAAACTTCGAGCACCGCGCCTACGTCACAGTGACCGAGTGAAACCAGCCGCAGTGGAGCGAGTACCTGCTGTTCTACCATATGTCAGAGGAGTCACCGACAAGATTGGCTATATCTTAAAGCGGGCTTCAATTAATACATTCTACAAGCCGCTGAAGAAGATTAGTCAGTTTTTACCATCTGTCAAGTGTAATATCCCTCTGCAAGATCCAGGAGTGTACAAACTTGACTGTGAATGTGGGCTCTCTTACATAGGACAAACGAAAAGAGCTATAAAAACCCCCGCGTGAAAGAACATATAGCTGACATAAAACAGAGTAGATTAAATAAGTTGCAGTTTGTGAGCACACTGTAAATCGGCCCAACCACTACATCAGGTTTGATAGACCAAAGATCCTTGCAAAAGAACACCGATTCCTCCCGAGGATGATTCGCGAGGCTATTGAAATTAAAAAACACCCTAATTTCAATAGAGAAGAAGGTTGGGTACTACCATCAGCTTGGGATCCTAACATCAATAAAATTAAATCTAAGCCCAAAAGAACCACTACTGCAAGACAAGATACAATTAGCTCCTTTTGCATAGATCGGACACAAAATCAATAATACAAAAACTGACGGTAGCCCGGGTTAACTTTGACAATCAGACGTCTAACACCTCAGTCTGTCCCGTGACCATGAACGCTGTAAAGGGTTCGAAACGTCGGGAACTAAAATTAAAAATAAACGCGATAAATCCGTAAAATTAGTTTGATTTATAATTTTCCGATTTTTATAAAGTATTGTCTTTGGAATTTGCAATAAACCCTAATAAGTAACCAACAGTTATTTAGTAATAAATTATTATTAATTTAAAGATTTTTTTTACAACTTAACATTCTGAAGGAGCTTCCGAAGGAAAATAAATTCCAATTAGTTATAATGAAATTTCTTAGATACCCTCCACGGATTATCCGCCAAAGTTTACTCGAACTCTGGCCCTCGCAATGTTTTGGTAACTTTATTTCTAATCATAATGAAACGACGACATCCTACCTCTTACGTCATTGAATGTAAAATCAATAGAAAGATCTTGGATTTATAGCTGACAAAATTAAATTTTTTGTAACATACAGATGTAGATAGTTTCAAACAATTGAACAAATCATGCTGGTTGAGATGGTTCTGATTTGTCAATTGTTCCAATTGATTCTGCCAGTTGCGTATATCCACTTTTTTTACAAAAATCTTTAACTTTACTAACTAAAAACATTCTAGCTGTTAGTACTTGCGTAGCACGTTTCGGGATAAGGCAAAATATACTTTAGGGCATTTAACAGTAGCTTCGCATAATACATATTGCCATCGTTAGTTCGTTCATAAAACTGATATCGCCTTCGTTTAGTGACATTTTCTCTGTGGTCGTCGGGTTACGCGCACATGGCACATCCACTTATTTGTTCTATTATCATATACTTGTGGAAAATTCAAACACCACTTGAGGTTATTGCGAATTCGGTGGGTTTAATCTAATTAGAGGTGCTATCTTCCTTATTTCGCAATTATAATGATTTTTTTGTTTTTTATTTGCCTATTTTGGCATCCAGAACATAAAAACCAGTACTTCTTACTGATACAAATACTTCTCGGGACAAATTATACACACACACTCTTACCCCACTACACCATTATTGAAATCTCTGAGATTTTTCACTCGTTTCTTATCTTTTATTTTTTTTTTTAATTAATAGAGTTCTCTTTCAATTTCGGTGTTAATTTTTTATCTTTTTTTATTGGAAAAGTTGTCAAGCGAGCAGGCAGTTCACCTGATGTTAAGTGAATTCCGCCGTCCGTGGACAACATCCAATAGCTTGCAGATGCGTTGACAACCTTTAAAAAAGTGGGCCCCGGTTACCTCCTCACTCACCAGAAAAAATGCGAACACCAGAAAAATACTTCCACTTTATGTCGCTCTTTTGAGAGGTCGTAGTACTTCCCCTATCACAGTCGAATTTCTGGAGTGCTAGTCAGTATTATGGAACGTTTAACTTTTACTAATCTGTTCTTGTTTTGAATGGATCCTGAAGATAATGTATATTTATAAGTCAGTATAGTATATCATAGTATTCATTATTTGATTAATTTTTATTTAATAAATTTTTATTTTTATTTTTATGTTTAATTATTATTGTTACTGCTATAGAAAAGTGTCAATCTACTTCCTATATTGCACATCAATAAAGTAGCGATACATATTATTTCATACAACATCCCAATTTTTACCTAAACTAACGTGTGACAGTCAATAGCTAAAACATGAAATATACGAATCGGTTTACTTACATATTGTTCACAACAATTTATAAGAATAACATTTTTATAGGTAACTTTTTTTTGTCCACCAATTCGCAGTGGGGTCGCGCGGTGTATTATGCCCTTTGCATATGCCATATGCCATAGCAGTGGGACATTTAATAGCTTATCATCTATTAATACGATAATTTTCATTAGTTTACAGTTTGCGTAAATGTAAAAATAAATAAACTGAATAAAGCAAAGAAACACTTGGTAAAATGTAATACATATTCATTAGTGATAGGTGAAAGAGTTCACGTTTGCTTGCTGGCTTCAACATGTTGCATGAACACGTCAAATTTAGAATGTATTTTCAGGCTATGGTCTGTCCAGTCCTTCTCGGTTTTATCGAACCAGAAGTATTTACCCTTTATTGATTGGTCAACGTCTAAAGCCAAGTAAACTGGGGCATCAGCTGCCTCCTCCAAGTCCATGAATCCACTGTACATTGTCATGCTTGTTTTAACAAATCCAGGGTGTATGGAATTGATGGAAATCCCGCGGTTTACTTCCTTCTGTTGTACTCTGGTCAACGCGCACATAGCTATTTTTGATATCCTATAGGCAAGGAAACCATTCTCTACAAAGTCTCCTATTTTCATAGTTCCATTTTTCACCGAATCCAAAAACCAAGTCACGAATGCATCAATGTCTTCTAATTTAAGATCCTCTTTTGTAAGTCGCTTTATCCAGTACGGATTCTCAAGGTTAGATATGTGCCCTGCGTCGCTTGATATATTTATAACTCTTGCATTGTCTTTCAGAATTGGAAAGACGTATTTCTGTATGGTCAGAAGGCTGTAATAATTAACGGTGAGTACGTTTACGGAATCCTCGTATGTTGTTTCAGAAAAATTTTCTGTAATTACAGCGGCATTATTTATCAGTATATCAATACCGCCATGTTTTTCCTTTAAAGTGTTTGCCAATTTTTTCACACTTTCCTCGTCGGTCACTTCGAGTTGAATAAAAACTGGGTTCAAACCTTCTTTTTTCAGATCGTCGACGGCTTCATTGCCTCTCTTTTCATCTCTTGCCGCTAAATATACAACGCCTACTCCACGACGGCACAATTCTTTAACAATTACGTAACCGATGCCTTTGTTAGCGCCAGTAACGACGGCTATTTTATCAGTCATGGTTTCACTGCTATTTGCGATTGAACTGCAATTTAACTTCGAATCTCACGTTTATATAACAACGGATGGGACGGGCGTCAAAATGATTAAAATTATTTATCAGATTACGTTTATACGGCAGTTATCAGATAATTGTAATCTTTCTGATATACATTAGAATAATGGCAAATACATACAGTGGACGCTTTAACAGACATTTTATCAATAACGTCGCTAATGAAAGTATCAAGTAGCTTGTTCTTTTTAAACCAATTGTCCTTGTAGAACCCCTCAGCTTACAACCAATATTCTCAATGGATCTATCCTCTATGGTAGGCCGGTACGCGTAAAGGTGTCAAGACAATGGCAATATTAATCGCCAATGTCACACCGGCCAGTTTTTTGTTTAAGGTGGGTTAAATGCGTAAGCATACTCGCGCTCGGGAGGGCAAGAACGGATTATGACTTACTCGCACCGATTAAAACCTTCACGATGATCACCTAGGGTGCATAACAGCAGAAGCACGGGAATGATTTCACACACTTCTGCGACGCTGCTAGCACTGGTTATTTCAGCGACGGTCCGACATTACAGGTCTGATGCTGTTCTACCAGTACCCAATGATAGACCTGGTAGAGCTGATAAGCAGCAAGCTAGAAGAGCTGATAAGCAGCAAGCTTATCAGCTCTTCTAGGTCCCAAAGCCAGTTTGTTGGAAGTTCAAAAGGGGCCGAATAGGAAGGCGCGCTGAATGGCGTGCGGAAGTGTGTGAAAGCGTACCCGTGGCCCTGCCGATATATGCGCTATATGCGCCTTAGGTGTATCATCTTGGGAGCTTTAGGTGGTGCAAGCATTTTTTTACTATATTATATTATATATATATGTAAATACATATTTTTTATGCCATGATATCTCAGTGTCCGCTCGCCTTTAATTTAATATACTCGAGCAATCTGAGTTCAATCCCCGGTGCCAGCACCGATGAAATTGTTAATTTTAAGTGCTGAATTATCACGTGCTCAGCAGTGAAGGATATCGTGAGGAAACCTGCATGTTTTCGAAATAATAACAAAAAAAAATTCGAAGATATGTGAAGTCCGCCAATTCGCAGTGGGGTTGCGTGGTGACCTATGCCCTGATATCTTCTGTACAGGGAAGGACTTTGCATGGGCAAATACTGATGGCAGTGGGACATGTAAGGGCTGATACTTTACATTTATACTTTATATTGGTGACTTCGTGGCGCAGTCGTTAAGGTATTGGCTTCGGCGTCGTGGGTCGTGGGTTCGATTCCCACACGGGACAAATATTTTTGTGACCCACAGATAGTTGTTTCGCATCTGGGTGTTTGTCCACGTGATATTTATGTATGTAAAATATCCTTGCAACACAGCATATTGTTATCGAGGACAATGAAAGAGAGGACAATGTTTTTTTTTTTTTAAAAAAATTTCCTTATTAGTTATTTTTCATATTGTTTAAATAATATTATGTCTGATATCGAATGTTTTTGTTAAGATAATGACTCTGATATATCATTTATATCTTGCGATGAATAAATAAGTGATATCATTCCAACGTTGAAAAATAAATTCAACAAAATATTTTTTACTGACAGGTAAACCAAGCCATTTTCCTGAACTCGATGCATCATTTTCATCTGTAAATTTACACGCAATTATTATCTCCAAAAGCTGGATGAAAACGTTCTTACATTCTGCGTTACTCGAATAACAGATTTTGTACTTATACGTAATGATCGTCTTGGTAAAGGCGTAGGAAGGATTGCAATTTTTTTTTTTTTATACATTGCCCTTACTTTAGGATAACATTATCCTGTGTTGTAAGGACGTTTTGCAAACATAAATTTGACGCGGACAAACACCCAGATGCGAAACAACTATCTGTGGGTCACACAAATAGTTGTCCCGTGTGGGAATCGAGCCCTACGACCTCCGAAGCCGAAGCCAATACCTTGGCAACTGGGCCACGGAGTCACCAATATGAAGTATAAAAGTAAAGTATCAGCCCTTACATGTCCCACTGATGGGCAAAGGCCTTTTTGACTATTTATTGTATTACTGCAATTACCTTCTTCATTTTTGAGTATTTTTCACACATCTTACATAGGGATATTTTTTTGGTTTTAGAATACAGTACATACGATCCGTCAGAAGCTTATTTGAGTGGTTTCGCTAAAAGTGCTCTTAAATAAAAGGCGCACCCAAAGACGCCGCCTGAAAGTTTAAACGGACGGTACCGTGGCCCAGTAATTACGTGTTGTTTATTTCCTAGTTACCGAAATTATGGCCTCCGTCCGCCCCTACGCCGTGCACCTGAGCAGCCATGCTTCTTTCCCTTGCGTCGTAAAGCTTTATCGTTCTTTCGTATAAGTATGGGCGAGAAAATACGTTATGCACAAATTATTATTTTTTTTAATTTGCAAAGGATTGTAAGTAAAATATGCGATCCTGTTAAATTATAAACTTATATTTTTACTAGCTTATAATCACATATATATAATAAATCATTTACATTATAAACTTGTATTTTTTTACTATTTTTTTAGCGCGTATGAAGATAGTGAACTATCCAATATTCGAAATCCAAGTGAGCTTGTGCTCCGCTGTTATCAAGCCTCAGGTACCCCCATTGCAGGAACCTCAGCAATATGAAACTGCCTTCAATGATGTCGGTTTCTTTGTTATCGTCCACAGATGTCACCTCAAATGCAATCTTGCCATCAATCCCTAAACACTAAGGCCGCTTGGAAATAAATACGGCTGAAAGTTTTAATTGACAACGAGGCATTTTGATTTTTTACAAGAGAACTTTGCATACAGTAGGAATCGTGTTTAAATCTGAGGTAAGTACGTAGTACAACAGCATCTGTTGTAACAAGGAATAAAGAAATAGAAATCTTCAGCTTCTTGTTAGCATGTATACTGAGTTTTATAGATTTCTAAGTGAGCCACGTCAATGATTTCAATTTGCGTTCTATTTATTAACGCACAGTGGTGCATCGTGGGTTCGATCCCTACACGGGAAAACTATTTGTGTGAATCAGTGAGATAATTGTTTCAGATTTGGGTCTTTGTCCGAGTGAAAATGTATGTAAAACTTCCATACAACACAGTATAATGTTATAATACATTAAAGGGAATTAAAAAATTATATATATCACAATTTCTCTCTATTTATAAATTTTGAGCGTTCTAGTCAACGAACAAAACGTGTAATAATAAATCTACTGAAAGAGTAACAACAGACAATTGTAATTTTGGATGAAAAAACTCGCACCGGGGCATAAAGATCACGCCCTGTCCAAAAATTGATTCCGTGCCCCATAACGACTGCATTTGAATCCTCGGTCACGTCCAGCTTTATTGTGGAGCGAAAGTTACAATGGCCCGGGAATTGTAAATAGCCCCCCGGTAATGTTGCGTAATTCTTGGGAATTGCCAACACGCGCGCTGCTCGGGCGGCGGACGTGTAATGCAAAACGATTTCGGCAGCATCTACTTGATCGTCGAGTTAATAGATCAAGGCGATAACGTAAACGAAAGGGTTGCTGGTAATAAATACACCAGATTTATGTAGTTTGCCTTTTTTTTTCGATATAAAAAAAAAAATAATTTCATTTATATTAAGTGTTCAAACAAACCATCGATCGACTGACGTTTTGTACTTGGCAGTGTTAATAAGGTTTCCGTACCCAATGGTTAAACCGTCAGTCTGTCTGTCTGGCCGTCTTTCACCAGGCTGTATCGCATGAGCCTTGATAGTTAAATAGTAGAAATTTTCACCGATGGTGTATGTCTGTTGCCGCTATAACAACAAACACTAAAAAACAGAATGGAAAAATTTAAGTACTGCTCCCATACAATAGACATATTTTTTTTGCGCTTTTTATAGATAATGGTACGGAACGCAATTGGCCGGTTAATACATTATCTCTTGCAAAAATGTCACGAACACCAAAACTTAATTAAATTAATTTATCTTTTTAATCCACGCTTCCATCCTTCTAAGTATCGATAAGATTGTGCGGCTCGATACGCGAAGGTTTTCATATAACTATGATGCTCGAAACGCTTCTCGATTCAACATTTAAAAAAAAGGTATTTTACACGATTCGCCAATTCTTTTTCATTTATTCCTTAACGTCAACAAACGTCATAACCTCACCACTTCTACCTACGCCCATCAAAAGTAGATGAAGTTACTGAAACTTGTTTATAACAGCGGTATATGATTCTTTTGGTAAAGCTTTTATCAGTAAATGCCATTTATAGTGCATCAAACGATTCGTGTTGTTTTGGCAGAATTAAGTTTTGATAAAATTTTAAGAAAAGTATTTATTGCAAGTTTAAAAAAAAATCATGGTTCTTGAGAACTCGAAAATGTTACCATTGTATTCTACTACTCACTGATTATGATATATATATAATATAACATTGATAAGTTTATATGGTATGCGTTCAAAAATTTACGATTTGCTTTTAGAGTAACATTTTTCTAAAAGTTAAATTCGCTACCAATGAAAGCATAGAGAGGTCCAATCAGCCACTTGAAAACGTTTCCAAGAATGAAAGTTAATATCAAGTTTGAAAATAAGAGTCGTAGAAAATATTTTTCCACGGAAAAATAAATCACTTTGCAAAAGTTACCGTTACTCCTCCGCATCATTGGGGGTGGGAGCCAACTTTCGGCGCACGCTGTTCAAATAAGTTTGATTTTTCATTTCTTCGCTAGTATTGATTTCAATATTGAACTTTCACCGCTCGACGGTCAATTTGGCTGTAACTTTCAGAACTGTCGAAGCATTAATGGTTTTCATTTTTTTAAATGGTTTAATGAAAAGATTGTTTTCTTGCAACTTTTCTGTTTCATAAACGTCGAATGTTTACATGACAATAGAACAGTTATTTTAATGGTCAAGTCTTCCCGTCTCTTTATTATTTCTTGCATAACGTTTAAACCTTCAACACAAAAAATTATATTACATAGTACTATGCATT